ATAAATTTTGGCAAGCTACTTTTCCTACGGGAAGCGCTGCCGAAATTTCTAGACATCCAAGGAGTTAGTCAAATTTTCACTTGTTCAACTTGTCTTTTCTTTATATCTGCCTTAGTAAAAATCTGGAAAGTCTCCTTTTCTAACGGGAGTTCTGCCCAAATTTTTTCTAATTCAAAGAGTTAGACAAAATTGGACTTTTAGAAGTCAAAGTTACTTTCAAATTCAAAACTTAGCTCTGTATAGATTTTGGAATAACACTTTTCTAAAGGGAGTGCTGCCGAAATTTCTACAAAATTAAGGAGTTAGTTAAATTCTGTCTAAAGTTGAGCTGAAACTGTATTTCGAATTCATATCTGACTTAGTATAAATCAGAAAAGTCTCCGTTTCTAAAGGGAGTGCTGCCCAAATTTCTGCTAGTTTTGGATATTAGACATAAATTTGACTTTCCAGAGTTACAAATTATTTCTATTTTTTATATATTGGACTTATATAAATTTTGGAAAGACACTTTTCCTACGGGAAGCGCTGCCGAAATTTTCTTAGTTTAGAGGAGTAAGATTATGTTTCGACAGGTGGCGAATCTGGCGATCCACTCTAAATAGAGGAGATTCTGTCATTAGTTTACTTAGTAAGATTATATTTCGACAGGTGGCGAATCTGGCGATCCACTCTAAATAGAGGAGATTCTGTCATTAGTCTACTTTTGCCTTAGACACTAACTTAGAGGTAGACTTGGACTTCGTTGGCAGGTTGCTTTGAGTGAGAATGTGGTATGGAGGTTTATCCCCCACATGCTGATGATTTAGCTTGGGCATTTGACCTGTCTTGTGTTACAGGTCCTTTGGGGTGTTTGATTCAAGATCAGGACAAGATTCAGCCTGATCCCTTGAGGATCATCTTCTGTTATCACAGATAACAAGTTCGTTGCCGATTCGTCGGTTTACGACTTAACTAGAATTCACGCCTGCCACTCAACCTAAAGGCTTTAGCCCTGAGATTTAAACTGTTTTGTTGTGTTTTCACCTGGACTTCATTGAATGGTCATCCAACAAAAGTACTGAGTATTTATTAAAGAGTTGCACGAGTGAGGCTTGTATGGCTAAAGCAAGGGGTGTGAGTGCAAGGAATGGTTAAAGTTGACCCCGTGTAGTGCGTGGACTTCTGGATGAATCTTTGATGTAATTGCAGGTGCGTTTGTGGTTCGGATTTTGGATGTGATTGCGTGCGATTACATACATATATGGCCGAGAGGAGCTCCACATTGACTGTGAGAAGTGATCGTCTTATATAACCAACTCTTATATATTTATAGGTGCCCTGAGTGTTTGAGAGGCCGGTGAGGCCTATTGTGATTGTGCATAAGGGTTAACCACATTACGTGTCGAGAGAAAAGGGGGAGTCTATGTTTACCCTTGTTTTTTAAGAAATTGTATGGTTGGACGTTGTAGTCCGTGGTTGCCGTCAAAATCAAACCTCTTCACTTTCGCCCAGGCCCAGGCAGGACTTACCCCTAAGGCCGCGAGAGACGACCACCACCACAGGTATGGACCTGTTTACCACCCGCTCTGCATAAGGTGCAGAAGAGGGTGTGTGATCCTAAACCTCGAATGACGCTTGTCTAGTGTCGAGAGATGAACCCTCAAGGCGCGTGTCAGCCGACACTTGAGTGTCGAATGCGACCCTCAAGATTAACGAGGACCGCGCGAGTTTGGGTACTACATAGTACGCCATCATTGCGACTGTTTGCGTACGATTGCATTGCGAGTCAATATGAGTAGGCCCTGCGTCCGCGCGATTTTATATTGAGTCTCACGCGCGACACTTACCCAGCGCGACACTTACCCAACTTCCGCATCGGAAAGTTATGGGTTGGATACTGAGGGGCTAGGAGCGTTGTCGCGTTATTTGTATTGTGTGGGTGTGGGTGTGGGTGTTATTATTTTGCGGTTGTTAGAGTGATGTGCGCGTGGTGTGTGGGACGCGTCCTAGTCGACCGACGACGAGTCGCGCTTGGGACTTCAGCCCCTTAAGATGTCGGTTCGCGTGCGGGTTTGATAGAGGCGTATTACCGCGCGTACCCCCTATGCTACAACGAACGAGAAATGCCATCGGCTAGTCCACCTCTGCGATTGCAACTGATTAGTTTTCGTACTGTGGACTGGTAACTCGGCGGGGATACGCCAACCGAAGGGAGGTGACAGCTCCCGTAAGGTGGAGGTAAGTTGTGCCTCGTGTAGGCCCTATCATGTCGTAGGGGCTTGCGAGAGGTATGGTCGGCGCACTCGGCCGGGGCGGCTTGCGAAAACTCCATGTATATTCGCGGCGAAGGATTTAAATCAACTTCTGCGTGACGCGGCCAGGAGGGTCCCTCGCTGCCCCCGTGCGGTGCTGGACTGATGCGCTCGACAAGTGGCCTCGTTGCCGGGGATAACGGTTGCCTACCGTTGGCCCTGGTAAAACGACATCCGGGTATTGGAAGTATTAAAATAGGCAAATGAGAAATTTTTGCTAGGACTGTATGAGTGATCAGTTGATATTGCGACTATTAATTGGACTGGTTAGGCGATGTGGTTTTGATTGATGTAATTTAAAAGAGATTAATATGGTATGAGTGACTCGAGGGAGATAAGTGTTTTGATTCTGCGTTTACTGGTTTTGACTAGCATGATGATATTTGGGATTGGTAACCCTTCTGATTCAATAGTTGGCAGGCCTGGGCGGTGCCTAGTGTGCTTCGCGTCGCTAAGGTTAAACATGGGTATTGTGAGAGTTAGCCCTATGATGTACCCTTAGCGACTGCCATAAGAGTCATCTGAGTGATTGGGAAAGTATCGTAATACGGTTGCATCAGGATGGAACCAATGATAAGTGAGATAATATTATTCTATCAGGAATTGAAGGAATAGATTCTCTCCTAGGTAGAAGGTTAGAAATCGTCTGTGCGCGTCGAGGAGAAGTAGGCCAAGGACAACTGAAGGATATCACGTGCATGGACTTAGATGTTTGAGTTTGGATTCTTGGCGGTTGTTCTGCTACAGGACGTAGTGAGTATATGTAATACATTCTTTACGTAAAGGATATCTTATCCTAGAAGGAGTTGGAGTAGCAATGGAAGGGCTATCACTTACACTAGTTAGCTTACCTTTAAGGGAGCGGGGGGGGGTAGTAATTGATGTTAGCCAGCCTAGTTTATGTCTAAGTGTGAAGGCATATTTTTAAGTAGAAATCCTAGGTTATGTCTAAGTACATGAGGATACGTGGCTAAATAGATATCATGTTTAGGGGTATTTCGTGTGGGGTACTCTATCGGGATTATATTTGGGATCTTATCAGTCTGTAAAAGTTTATATGAATGTCTCCTGTCCAGCACTTGTCTCATGGCAGACCATCGAGTCCGTGTGGCTGGGTCGCTCTTCCCAGAGGAGCAGGGATAGTCAGTCTAATAACGGAAGGCGCATGCTGGACGTTAGTCTGTAATAGGCAGAACCCAGACAAAGCAAAGGCAACTCAGGATGCCTTATGCACGGGAAGACCCGCGGATGCTCGGGCCGGTTAATAAAGAGGGAGGACTCGAGGTGTCTTTACCCAGGCGGGTCAGAGAAGGAGAGTATGTTTCATCATGGTGGGGAGTGATGATGGGCACAGACATCTTCGTCTGGAACGAGTCTGGGTTCGACGACCAACAGGAAAGCGCAATTGTCAGGGTGACCCTGTACACTTCAGCCACCTTTTGGATCGAGCATGGGATAAAGTTGGCGCTTGGGCACGGAAGCCTGCTTGCTAAGCCTTTGAGGGTAGCCGAGGCAGTGGCAGCAAAATGGGCGAGGGAAGTAGCCCGTGGCGGGGAAAAACAAGTATTAATCTGTGTAGAGGTTCAGTGTGCTGGAGAGCTTGTGCCTCCATCAGCTCCGCTGCGAGTCGCCTTGCCTGAGTTCCTCATAGAGAAGAGTTTTGGCGGGCAAGCGAAGGTAGAGGCGGCAAATTAAGCGGCTATGAGGGTGCGAAACTGTGAGTACGGACGTTATACATGTGAACTGGTATACGGTCTGTACCTAGACCCGAAATTCTCACCATCTAGTCAGTGCCTCAGAAACACGGTCGATACAGTGGACATATACGCCTCGTCTCATCATCTGAATGAGGGAAATGTACACTGGGAGGAAATTCGGGCAGTAGTGGGTCGGTAGAGAATGCCTTCTCTTCCTACTAAATGCGCTTCGTTTGACTTGGCCAGAGTCGTCTGTCTGCCCATTATTGTAGTTATGAAAGTAAGCGTCAGAGTAACCAAGGACTGAGGACCGATTTTATGAGTAAAGGAGTAGATAGCGAGATTTAAGTGTTAGCAGTCTGCCCTTGTCTGCCCAAGCTTACTTAAATCATTGTTTGATGGTCTATTGCCCGTTGTGTGTATCACGCTGCTGTCAGCATCATGGCGGAAGAAAGCGGCTTCACCAAGATCCTGCGATGGAGGAATTCGTGTCAGATGAAGGTGTTGTTGCGCGAGGCACTGCAAGAGTCAATGCCTCCAGACCTCCAAGCTCTGCTAATCCAAGGAAGAAACTTGTCTAGCTTTCTGCGTGATTTTCAAGATTTTTGCTTTATGAAGACGTGGGGGCAAGAAGGCGATGTGGTACATGTTCCCCTTGTTCGTTTGTGAGGGGCTAAGTGAGGAGGTATATGCCCTCAAGCAGAAGGCGAAGACGTGGGATGAGTTGGAGAGTTCCTTGAGGCTAAGATTCCTAGAAGATGGAATAGAAGGCCAACGTAGGGAATGCTCTGAGCAACCAGCTGCGAATGCACCATCGCAGGCAGAATTGAGTGGATTGTAGAGACAAGTGGAAGTATTGGAAGGAAGGTTAGCACGGCTGGAAGAGGCCAAGAAGGGCAAGCGGAAGATTTCAGAAGAGTCCCCAAGTAGGGTAAAAGAGGAGTAGAGGAGAAGAATGACCAAGAATCACCCCTCTTGATAGGAACCCCAAAGAGGCGAATCGGGGCTCAAGCGAGCGACGAAGGTGAAGGATTCGTCGAAATGAAGGAGGAACAGGATGTTAATATGGTCCGGCCTGTCCGTGCGTCGAATCCAAAGAGAGGGCTTGCTAACCTGGGAGCATCCTCGGCCGCAGGTCGGGAGAGGCCAAAGAGTGGATGGTGGCCAGAGCATTGGGATACGGTGGTATCCGATCATCGGGGAGGGACAGGCCGTACCCCTCAAGAAAGAAAGGAAAAGGGTGTGACGGGAAGAGAAGGAGAGCTTGAGCCTCCCAAACCAACAAAGGCTCAGCGAGAGGCGAGGGGTTGGGCTCAGGGAGGTCAGGTTACCCGAGATGGGCAGTGCTCGCAACAAGAGGTAGTCACTCCGCTAGGAATGGGAGGCGAAACTGCTCAAAGGGGGCCTTCAGTGGCCGAGCAGACACTATATCGGCGGTGGATGCCATACGATCAGATGGGTATAGAGCCTGCGATTGGGATAGACTTCTTCAAGGGTTATCATGTCTCCGATTTCCTTGACAAGTTTGAACAGATAGCATCCCATTACAAATGGAGCGAGGAGCGAATGCTGGAAGAGGTCATGGGGTTTATCCATATAGGGCTGAAGCATGAAGTTGATAGGGTGGTTAAAGGAGCGAGGTCATCATGGGGGAAATTTTGTGATGACATGAGGCATAAGTACTGGCTAGGTGAGGAGCACCCGACCAATAACGATCCTGAGATGGTACCCAGGCCTCTGGTAGCCCAAGCCTAGCCCGGGAGGCCGTTACAACTTCCGTCGCAGCTAGTGCCACAAGGCGGCAGGGCCAACGTAGAAGGTCAAAGGCGGACGGTTGGAAAAGGCCGTGGACATGGCGGGCGTGGCTACGCGGGCCGTGGAGATGGTGGACGCGGCAATGGAGGTCGCGGGAATGACAGGCAAGGCGCCGAAGGTCGCGATGGGAGCCAGCGAAACCATAAGTGGGGCTCAAAGAAGAAAGGGGCTTGATAGTGCCGAATAAGACGATCGTTAGAGTGAGCCGGGTGATCAAGGGTGCGGAGAGAGTAGATGAGACGACTAGGACAGAGAAAGTATAGTAGTATGTAATGGGGATTCATCCTAATTCCTTGGTCGGGAAGTCTCTGTTAATCGTCTGCCTTAGATCCGTGGCTTGTTAATAGTAAAGATTTTGTGGTACATGTATTAATCAAGAAATTGGGATAGCAGGCTAACCGTTGCGTCACCCTAACCCCGTACTAACTGGTAAAAGCTAGTTGCCTATTGTGTGAGTCAGGATAGGCATATATTTTGGTGTGTATATGTATAGAGGTTAGATCCGGGGAGCGGTTCCGCAATAATGGTGTGGTAAAGTGACTTAGGTTGTAGATACCTCAGCCATATAGGTGAGGCCAGGTGGCAACGAGTGAGTAGGGACTAATTCATCTATATCAGTAGGAACACAACTCCTTGTGCGAAGAGACTGAGCTAGACATTTGTATATTTAGATATAGGCGCGACTATCTTATGCATTTGTACATATGCAGACTGTAGTACTGGACGAATTTTTTTGTTCCTTCTTTTGGTATGGTTAAGATGGTTGTATCCAGATGTGTGATATGCTGGCGTATACGATTGGGATAGACTTGCGTGCTTTGAGCCTTATATATGTTTGAACATAATCCAATGTACTCGTGTGTTCGAGACATGGGTCACTCAGCGGAGTGGGACGTGAGGGCTGGGTACCTATGATGTTTTTTTTTTAGAGCTACATTTTATCATGGCATATATATTGAGTTGAAACCTTATGAGGATTGGTTTTTGTGACGATCACTTTCACTCTCACGCGTGTCGCTTTATCTTGTTGAATGTTCGTTTTGTGTAAAAGATGTGTGAATGTGTAACATGTGAAGCTGCTTACTCCTCGGGATACTCGTGCGACCTGCCTACGGGTAGCTGATAGGGCAGAGTATAAGGGGAGGAAGCGCGGCTTGTTTGTGAGAAGTTGTGAGGATTCTTAGGAGATTTATGAGTCCATGAGACTCGAATGTTTCACCATACCGGTTGTTGATTGCTTGAGTATGACGAGGACCCATAAGATAGTCTCTTAGTGATGTTTTGTTCTATGAAGAGACCCCTGGATTTTTGGAAAAGGGGATGTTGTGTGTTATGATGAGACCCCCTCGAATTTGAAGGAGGGGATGTTTGGTTTTATGATGAGACCCATCGAGATTTTTGGAAGAGGGAGTGTTTTATTCTGTGGTGAGACCCCTCGTCATTTTGAGAGAGGGGATGTTTTGATTTATGATGAGAGCCTCTGGATTTTGGAAAAGGGGGATGGTTTATTGTTAGAGGACTCACCCTCAGAGGTGAGTAAACTGATTTATGGCATGGTGAATTGTCTTGTGAGTGATAAAGTCTGACAAAAAAGACAACTTTTGCTTATAATGTTTGAGAAAGTCGCAATGAGTGCATGACTGTGTGTGTGTGTGCCTGTGTGTGTGACTCTGTGTGTGTGTGTGTGCTCTCTCTCTCTCTCTCTCTCTCTCTCTCTCTCTCTCTCTCTCCCTCTATATATATATATATATATATATATATATATATATATATATA